TTTCACTGAAAAAAGTTCACTCAAAATATACCATCAAATTTCATGCCAGAGAAAATGAAGAGGAAGGAGAATGCACCCTGCTGGGTCTGAACCTGCTCCGCATCTCTTCAGCAGGTTGGAGCCCTCTCCCATGGTGGTCCTTTCCTATGCAAGGAATTGTAGGACAGAAGCCATGGTATGGATAGAAGGGTTCAGCATAGACAGGTGTTTCCTTGCATCTCCCTGTACCCCTCTCTCAAACATTTTAAGGACCTACTTTCTCCTACAACACTCAAAAAAAGCAGGTTCTGAAGAGGTACTATAATTCAGAGTTTCAGACACAAGTTACAGAATCTTATGGAAAAACTAGTGGTGCTCTGAACGAGTGAATTTACACCAGTCTTCCTCCTATCCATCTTTTCCTGATGGCTTTCAACTGCAGAAGCTAGACCAAGCAAAGGTTTATCAATACTTTCTGCTTTTCAAATATCACATGTTGGAGCTTTTACTTTTAAAATAGAAGTATGAAAAATTTACTTTTCCTGGCAATCCTGGACTTTTCCTAGGCTTTGATTAGCTTACAGAGGACTGCTTTTGTTTCTGTTAATGAAGTGGATGGATGTCTGGCGTTGGCAGGAGTTTCAGTCTTGGCTTCCATTTTGTATTGAGAACTAACAGAAAAACTGAAGGAGGATGATTTACGGTAATAATAATAGTGTTAATAACACCTCCTTAGCCTTCATCTGTTTCCTAACTGAAAGTCATTAAGGTGCTATGACTATGTAAGTAATTAATAATGATGTAATTAATTTTATATCTCTGTTGAATAATGTTTCCACCATGTGGGAGGAAACTACTGTTCTGGTGAGGCTGATGTTGGATTGCTTGCAATGCAAACGTTGGAGTCCAAGCAGTACAACAAGGACAAGAAAGGAGACAAATAACATAATGGTTATTTTCATTTGTCTCTAAGGACGTCTCAAAAACCACGTAAATGTTTTATGTTTTGATGAAGACACATGTTTTATATTGCCCGTAAAAACACAACTTTATAATAAACAAATTCAACACGCTTGCGTTAGAAAAGTTCATTTTAATTAGGCTAGTTACATACCTTTTAACAATACCAGTGTCAAATTATGATAATGCTGCGTGACCCATAACTTACACATCTGAGAAACGCTGCCTTTCCTAGTGGAAATGAATAAAATCTTGTTCCTTTACTGTAAGTTGTGCAGTATGTTGGATGAACAACATCGTGTGCTTGTCTCTAGAGAGTTTAGTGTAAAACAGCTCCAGATTTTCTCTGGTGATCTCAGAGCTGGCTGAATAACTCCAGCCTTCCACAGCATAAAATGCTGACATGCAGGGAGATGAGACTTTCAGATATTAAAAGCCTGCTCTGTGATACTGAAGGAGATTAGTTTTTGGAATCCATTCATTGACACAAAGGCCAATGCTGAATGGAGGTTATATTTATTGTCTATGAAACCCCTGAGTTAGCTGAAATCACTTTAAGCATGTATATGCTTACATGTATTCTCTCACATTTAGCCAGCTCCCTGTGATGCTGGTTTCTTTGAGCCAGGAACAGACAACTTTCAGGGACTTGGCTTGAAAAGATGCGTTCATGTAACACCCTCTGTCGTATATTACAAGAGGCTACAATCAAGCAGTCTTTATACTTGGATTGTCTAGACACTGTGACAAAGTGGAAAAGGGCAGGGAAAGAAAAAGCCCTTTTTGTCAGTCATTCACTTCTGCATCAAATTCTCCTTCCCTGTGTGTTGCTATTGCCAGCAAAAAGATAAAAGAAGCAAAAACTAAACAAAAATCAAGAAACTGATAATTCACTGGTTTTCTGTTCATAACATTCCTAGTAAAAAGAAAACCCCAAACCCTTATTTTTCTGAAACTACCAGTACATATGTATACCATCTCCTGGTTTATTCACTTTTTTTAGAATTAATACTTGGAACAATTTTATTTTTGCAGCTGATTTGTCATTCTAACTTTTTCCTCGTCAGTGTATAAATTAAGTGGGTAGGGCTGTTGTGCCAGCACTTGTAAATTGGTGTGTGAAATCTTCACAGACTTCAGTGGAGACTTTTTTCCCTGCTCAGCTGAACGTTTGTGAGTGGGCAACAGGAAAGCCCCTTTCCCCTGCCGCTTTCCCAGATTTCATGTTTTCAATCTCTTTTTTTTCTTTCATTCTTTCTTTTTTTTTCCTACTTTTTCCCATGAAAACACATGGGAAAAAATAAGAGAGAAACAGAGCTGGGAGGGGAAAAGGAGCAGGCGATAGAGTTTCACGGGGCAGTAAGTTTGCAAGCCAACAAAAAGGCTTCTAAAATTCTTCTTTAAATAGTAAAGCCTGCATATCACTTAACTGTTTTGAGGTGAATAAGTGTATGTTCCAGCACTCTTCTCTGTTCGGATGGTCGATGCCTCTCTCTTCCCATTCACTCGAGCTGGGAATTCTCCCATGCAGCGTTTGCTCACTGTCAGTGTTTTGCTCTCCACGCACTGGAGGCATGCTTTCACCGAGGGGTATCAGGGTGAAAGCAGTGAGCCCCAGACACATCCCTCCCACCCGAAGCCTCCCTGGGCTCTGGTGCTGATAGTGGGGAGATGAGCCATCGCCCCACAGGGCCCTCGCCCTCCCTGTGGTCCTGCTTCACTCCCTGGCATTGCTCATGGGGCAACTTGGCTTTGAGGGGAGCCAGGAAAACCGCTCCTCTGAGTGATATCTCCAAACAGAGGGTCTCCAGAGCCAGGCCATCCTGCTGTCGAAATGGGTAAAAGCAGCAGAGATATATCAGAGATATATCCGCAAGCAGTTTTTGACAGCTGATGCAAAGCTGGCCGGGGCACCTCTGCACCCATCGCAGTCCCTGTGGGCTCACCTGGAGTCACTGCTGGTCTTGGGGTGAACAACTTCGAGCCCCAGCGTGGTACCCCGCACCTCCAACCCTGACCCAGCTACCAGGGTGAGCAGAGGCTGGAGGCCGGCACAGCTGCCGCAGAACTAGCAGGAGCAGCCTGTTTTGCAGCCTCCAGGATTGTTTCTCTCGCCCTGTTGTCGCTTCAGTTTCTTGAAGGATCCCAGCTCATGCCACCATTGCAGCAAGTGCAGTCAGGATTCCTTGTTTCTGTTCATGTGAAGAGACTTAAACATTCTGATGAGGCAACTGCTGAGTCGATGTGGTGCCTTGAAGGAAACAAAGAAATGCAAAAAGGGCACATTTAAGTTAAGCTAAGAGCAAGGGACAGTAGACCTGTGCTAACTGTAGGCAATATAGCTCAGGGAAACACATTAAAATGGTGCTTCTTTTTCTGAACAGGCTTGTAGAATAACTGGGAGTATCTTCAAATTGTAGAAAATACCCTTCAAAAGAATTTTTTTTTGTCAATTAGGCAGGTTAGATTTAGGAAGCAGGTATCCAGACTGTGGACTGTCAGAGACAAGCAGGGAGCTGCTGCATAATTTTTCAAGCATTAGCAGTGGAGGAATATGCTTTTTCTGAATCCCATGAGTTTGTCAAAACCAATTTCCTGTGTTGATGTTGGGGTAAGGCATACAAAATAGCCAGCCTGGCAGCTACAGAAAAATGAGGATATTTGAAAAAGGATAGGCTTTTTATTTACCCTAAGTGACGGATATTGGCTGAAATGTCAAAAGAAATATGAGCAGGGAAAAAATGTGCTTCGTTGTACTTTTTTTCTGTTCTCTGCATTTTCTCCTTGTCTATCTATATATTCTGGACAAAGTGTGTCTAGTAAGTCAAATTTTTTAAAGATTTTTCTATTGTCACTGCTCTTTTTGTAGCCCTAGTTTTTAGAGTATGCTATTTGTGTGCCAGGTTACGTGTAAGAGTCACCATACCAGTTCAGATCAAGGGTGCATCCGGACAAGTATCTGATTCCCTAGATTCATCACACCCAGCTTCAGAAACTCAAGGTTTGTGTCTAGATTCAGCTCTAGACAGTAAGAAAGAGTTCAGTAGCACCAGCACACGGATTGTAAGATGTTAGAGCTCGCAGGTGATAAGCAGTACCAGGTAACAGGACTAACCTTGCAGGACTGCTTCTAAGATGTGGCGAATCAACCCCTGTCTCCCTCCACCTAGAGAGAAGTAGGCCCCTAAAATTGAGAGAGATTAACCCAGGCCCTGGTAGTGCACCATGAGGGTGCTGAACAAGAGGTTACAAGAATTCAAAAACTTAGAGCAACCTTTTCCAAGCCATACCCTCTTGGTTTCCTCCTGTCCAGGATCCGGACTTTGAGATGCTGTGCATTTGACATGTTAATTCTTCCAAGACTTTCTCTAGTTTCTTAACTCATGTATACCTTTGGCAGCCCCACTTTCTGCTACCTGCTAGCAGGTTTTATTCTTCTGTTCAGTGCTGCATAAAAGGGTACTTCCTTTTGATTTAGTAGTGCCATCTGATAGCTCTCTCCTACTTTCCTGTGCTGTAAAAATTATTGGCTTGTTGTATCTTCTTTTGTGCCTGTCATGCAGAGCTCCAGTGGTGGAAAAAGGTTGTATTGCCTTTAGGTGAAGTCACCTCTTGTGTAGTTGGCAAGGTCAAGCATGAACCGTGATCTAAGTGCCTCGCTCTGTGTTTTGGGGGGTAGACTTGAACACCTCCAGCTGCACTTCTGGGCTAAGTCCTTTGCCTGCCAGTCGTCCCCTCCTGGTGAAGGGTGAGCGAGAGGCGTTTCATCCTTTCGCTACCTCCATGCAAGCCATTGCCTGGCAGGGCTGGGTAGAGAGCTGTCACTACCCTAAGAGCAGGCAGGACCTCCTTCCCCAGGCCTTGATGGGAAACCACTGTGAGGAAGATTTTGTGTGAGATTTTCCCAATGTGCTGCTGTTTATATTCAAACTGCTGTGGATTTTTTCCGAAGTACTTAACTTTTGAGCAGTGAACTTAATTTGATCCTTGTCACATGTGGGTTTGGGGGAGATCTGGTGAGCATCAGTGTATGAACACTTGTCCTTCCCTTCCTCTCCTAGGATTTTAGATAATGGGCTGTGTGCAATGTAAGGATAAAGAAGCAACAAAACTGACTGATGAGAGGGATGGCAGTTTAACTCAAAGCTCAGGCTACCGCTATGGGACAGATCCCACTCCGCAGCACTATCCTAGCTTTGGTGTGACTTCAATCCCGAACTACAACAACTTCCATGCCACAGGAGGCCAAGGACTGACTGTGTTTGGTGGAGTCAATTCCTCCTCTCATACAGGGACGTTGCGTACAAGAGGAGGAACAGGTGAGCTTCAAAGTCTTCTTTCAGTGCTCTTAATGAGTATCAATCACATAATTACAGCAGAGGCATGACTGTCTCAGCATGCTGCTTTTTGGAAGAGTTATTTTATGAAACAGTGCAAAGAATTGAAGTAGGGGTGGAGCTGGATCTTCAGGTAGCAGGTGCTAGTTCATTTGGGGGTTGAGAAATTGTGTATACATGCTCAGTTTGGCTGACTGAATGCCTCATCCTTCTACCAGGGAATGGTAAGTGTGGTCCAAGCCACCTCAAGTAGTTAATGGGAAATACTTGGCATGGCTATGTCGAAATTCTCTTTTCCCCTTTGCCCACTTGGGATCCTACGCTCTGTGTGGGTATCAAACCAAGAGTACTGATGACTGTACAGAGTGAAGGAGGTGGTGTGCCTGCTGGCTGCATAAAAGCAGAGGGATTAGAATGGTTGTCCAAAAAGTAGGAGGCTTCAGTTTATTTTGTTCCTCAGCAACTGGATTAGCTTACATTTGGCTTAGCCACTTCACCTCTTGAGGCTACTTTCCCTCCTGTTTTTTGTGATGGAATGTAACTCACCTACCTTCTTCCTTAGGTGTAACTCTTTTTGTGGCGCTTTATGACTATGAAGCAAGAACAGAAGATGACTTGAGTTTTCACAAAGGAGAAAAATTTCAAATACTTAACAGCTCGTAAGTTTTAGGCTTGGGAATATGCTTTTTAATATTTTCAAAATTATAATGTTGACAATTATATTTGTCTGCTTATGTTAACTAGTATGATCTAATGTTGGATGTTTAAGACATGTTGGGGTTTCACTCTGTGCTTGCTCACTTATCTTTGCATTTAGTGCACTTTTGCAAAGTGCTGTATTATTGAAAAAAACAACCTTCAACCACGTGCAGCTTTACTTCAAAAATAAGCGTTAGAGTATGTGGTTCACTGCTTATATTTCACAGCAAACTTGCATTCAGAACTGAGAGTACCAGCTCTGTATTTTACCAGTAGTCACAGAAGTTTTGCAAGACATGTACTAACACTTTTTGCAATCTGCTGCAAGATTCTCTACACAGAAATGAGCTAAAATCCAATTCACAAAAGAGATATTACCCAGACTTGCGTGCCAAGTTTAAAAGCTGCTTTTTTTTTTTATTATTTTAAAGGCAGGTGATAGAGTCAGAACATGCTAGGAAGTTCTGTTAAGTGAGAATGCAATGTTGTACAGTTGCATTTGGCATGAAAACCACACTTCCATCCTGGAAATCATCAACTTCAAATTAATTTTATTAACTTCACATAGAAAAAATCCCTTAGCAATTTAAAAATAACATCTAAAACTTACTGTGCTACTGACCTATATCTGAACATCTTGTGATTCTTGGCTAAAAACATAAAGTTGAAGGCTCTGTGTTATGTTCAGTATTGCTATCATGTAGAGGTAAAAATGGGTTAAAAACCAAGTATGTCGCTTTCTAGAGGCTTTGTGATATTGCTGTCATCTTTTTTTCTTAGACTATGTGACAGTAAGGCAAATTCATCCCTGGTGAAACTCCTGTTAATTTTAATAGAACAACTCCAGGGTTGAAGTTGGCTCAATGTGCATTAAAGTTAAAAAAAAAAAATAATAAAAAAAAGAAGCAAGTAATTCTGCGGAATATTTCATGAAGCTATGAAGCTGAAGAGCTTTGATGTAGATGAAAGCACAGAAACTTCAGTTACGACTTGTAGAAGGAGCAGCAGTTTAAAAAACTCTCTACTTCTAAATTAGCACTTGGAAAAAAAAAACTATTACCCATTTTGTTCACATTGCCTGCTGCTTTCCCAACCTTGCACAAACTATGCCATAACTCGAAACAAGAAGAAATTCCACACATTATAAATTCCTTACACATGCCAGTTGATGAAATCGGGGGGTGCTCACCAGGACTTGCGGAGCATTCATACTTGGAGTCAGTGGGACAGAGAGATTTCCCCGTGTGTGGGTAGTGGCAGTACATGCATTTTGATGCAGGTAATTACTGCCTGGAGGAAGGTTTTCTAAGAGAAAAAAACAAACTAGTGTCTACTGATTTTCTTGTAGAATTAATTATACAAGCTAAGTTCCCATCATAGTCAGCTCTGTCTGCTTACAAACACAGACCTAACCACGCTCCTGGAGTACTGACAGCCAGACTGGAAATCTCCAGAAAGCAGCTTTTCTGTGAGAATTCTTCCTCTCTTCACTTATATCAGAAATTATATGAAAGAAGCCCATTTTTTAAGAGTCTGCCATTGCTGCTTGCAACCAGAAAGCATGTATGTACACTAAATTAGTTTCTCCGGAATTTTTTGACGGGTTTGGATTATTTTTTTTTTAGCTCTCAACAAATTAAATTTGGGTTGTGCTTTGGAATAAAACTTCAGGACAGCAATATCTGAAATGGCGTACGGGGGGTATCCCCATGATTTAAAGCCAGAAATGATACCAAAGGCAGTCTGTTTTTTTTCCTGCAGTAGTGGTTCAGAGCAGAGCCTGACTTCACAGCTCAGAAACACTCAGCCATCCCCTGCACCCCCACCACCACTCCCTCACACCCCGGCTAGCCCCATTGACTAGCCTCCTCCTACCTCCGTTGGGTGTCTAAAATTAAGAGCTGTGAAAAAAGTCTGCATTCCTCCTTCTTTCTGGCAGTGCTTTGAGAGATTTAAGCTTCTCTGTCAAAGCAGAGGGGCTTGTTCCTGATGTGATCATCTACGGGGCTGCTTTTTTTCCTCCCTAGATATGATAAAACACCTCCATCTAGTGGACTGTCTGTACAGCAAAGAGAAGAAATGTAATGGTACAATTTATCAACCACAGTATGGCATAATGTCTCAGAAATATTCTACAGCAACATACAGGGGCAGGGTTAGCACTTCAGCTGATAAAATTAGGGTCGTAAACAGATAGGGCCGTTTGCCTGACATACTAGTGCACACAAGGTGTATTAAAATAACATTGGCTGCCAGCCTCTAGAAAAGCTACTTGTTCTTCATTTTTTTGAACTGTAGAATTGGAAATGTCTCCTTTTTGCACTAATCACGGCTGTGTTCTAGTTGTTTTCCACAGAATTCACACCTTTCAAACTGTTAAAGAAAGTGGCGTTGAAAATTCGAAATAAGACCTCACTTTGACACAACCTTTCCTGCCAGTAATAGTTTGAACAGCGTGTTTTCTGTAACTGCTTGCTTACAGAAGAGGCTGAATTCTCTGGCCACATTTGATAATAGTGTTTTATTTAGTGAACCAAACTCTATTTTACAGAGAGGGGAACTAAGAAAGACTTTCTAAGCAGTCCAGAATAGAAAAGAGAATGCTAATTAGTAGCAGTAGGAGTTAAACATCGGTGAATCTGATGCTGAGAGTGAAATACAAATTGCTAAATCCCAAATCGTTGTATCTTGTAAAAAACTGAGAAATAAACTTCTCTTAAAGCTGCACATTTTACAGCAACATGCATTGTCTAAAAGGCAGTACCATGTACACACACATATATGACAAAGATTGATGCTAAGCCTGTGGAATGCTGCCGTAAGATAGTCCTGCGTGGCCCTCTTCATATTTAAATGTTGTAGAAGAATGGTTTTTTGTAAGTGTTTGCAAATGCAGCTAAGTCCTTTGCTACTTCAGATACCTCCTTTAGGTGACCAAGAGAGGGAATCTAGACAATGAAGTGTGATCCTTAAGGGCTATCTAAAACTCCATATTGATAGATAGCTTTTTCATGCCTTTGGGTTTCAGATTAATTATCCCCATAGAAGTTTAAAATTAGCAGTGGATGTGACAGTGTTCAGTTTGGCAGTTTTTCTATAAGCTCTCTCAAGGGTCTGTATTAGAATAATTGCTATGGAGACAGTTTTCAATACTCTAGTCCAAATCCAGCCCTCACCAAACCTGATTTCACTGGGTTGTTATGCCTGTTTATGCCATTATGCTACATTTGGAAGGCTACATTACTAATCACTGCTGAAATAATAATAGGTGTAAAGAAATACATACATTATTTGGGTTTAGATGCATATAGCTTGCTCGGAAGCATGTTGGTGATAAAGAGATGAGTTGCTGTGGCTTCTTACGCCAAGCAGCTGTGGGTGCTATTAGCAAAGTCTGATCATTGTCTTTACAGCTGTGTCTCACTCTCACTTCTCCTCCTCACTTCTGTTTCTGCAGGGAAGGAGACTGGTGGGAGGCCCGGTCCTTGACAACAGGCGAAACCGGTTACATTCCCAGTAATTATGTGGCTCCAGTCGATTCCATCCAAGCAGAGGAGTATGTTTTCTTTTCGTTGTGAAGACCCTTTAGTGCTGTATTTGAAGGAGGTTTGAGGACTTAGTTTTGGTTGATTGTAGCAATTTTTCAAATGACTTACATTATTTTTATTTCAGTTCTTAACTGCACTGATAAATAATTAGGTAATTAGTAACAAAAGAAGCACAAGCTCAGTGCCTTTTCAATGTCAAAACAAAGGAAGAAAACCTAAAGGATCACAGGTCTCTTCCTTTATTCGAGTGTCAGCTAATTTCAAGCCTTAAGCAAAGGGTGTCCTTGCTTTTCCTGAACCAACTTGTAAAAATATTTGGAGTCAATTAGTGTGCAAACTCTCTATTAAAGAGGGCACGTTGCATCAACAGATACCTACCAATAGGTAGGATGCCTACAACGCATACAGCAGGCAGCATAATGAAGACGTATCTATGTGAATAATGGAGTGCTGTGTGTATCCATATTATTTCCAGTATAAAAGGTACACTGAAGGAACTTACATAGCTGAGCAGGTACTACTGCAGTCTGTACTTCAGGTTGTACTTGGTTGATAGTGAAACAAAAATGAAATTGCTGCAGGAAGGAAAATGGTACAAAAACTCTGAAAGCTTTATACAACCACAGTAAAGTGGTTGCATCTGGCCCTTCTATTGAGGTTTTATAGCTGTAATAAAAATATTGAATACTAATAGGTCACTATATAAGTCAAATATGTAGTTTATAACAACATCTGGTAAAATATTGCTTTTCAGCAGTGACACATTTTTCTGGCCTTTTGCTTGTCTATTCCTTCCCCCCCGCCAAGTCTTGCTTTCTGTTTGTCAAAGTCTGGCCTTTGTCATAAGACACCAAACAAGCATTCTCAGCATCTGCTGATTATAGGCTTAATCCAAAGTGCTACTAGACAATGTATACAACATCTACTAGACAGTTTGTCCCATTAGCTTCCCGCCAAAATAAAAGAGACACAGTACAACAAACATGGTTGGATATACTCAAGTAACCATAGTTTCCACATGTCCGAGCTCTGTGACACTGCCTAGTAATCCTATGTAGCATTTGTCTTACTATTTCTGATGTTTTCCTAAGGTGGTACTTTGGCAAACTTGGCCGAAAAGATGCCGAGAGGCAGCTGTTGTCATTTGGAAACCCCAGAGGTACCTTCCTGATCCGGGAAAGTGAAACTACCAAAGGTAGGCTGGCCAAAGCTATTCTGACTATGAATGAGAAGATGTATGAGAACAATTGTGCTAAGTTTGTGAAATACTGTTTTCAGTGGTATGAAGGTAGAGGTAAGTGTCATCTTGTGTGCAAAGGAATTAGATGTCTGGACATCTCAGGTCTTTGAGTGTTCAAAGCAGAGAAGAACTCAAGTGCAACCCATGCCCTGCTCAACCCATGCTATCTTCACTGCAAGTCACGCACAGGCAGCATGCTCTGCTCTGCTGTCTCACTCTGAACATCGCACTGTCTCTCTCAACGCGTGCGTTGAGGATACTACTACTGCACTGGAGTCGGGTGGAGGGTGGCCCCTGAGAACAGCAGCTATGCAGCTACCGGAGGCGAACCTTCTGGTGTCCATATCCAGGTGCAGGCACAGACAGCTAGCTTACTGTGAACAGATGCTGGGGATCTCCAGTCTAGCTTGGTGAATATTACTGCTTACTTCTAAACAAGCAGAATATTTGAACCTTCTTTCCTGGAAGATCTAAGATAAAATTTTGGGGGAGAGGGAGGTACTAGTTATTATTTTGGGAAGATTAGGGAAATTTTTGACCTTTCCTCTTTGAAATGCTGGATCCCGGGGCGGGGGGAAGATGTCACAGTTTTAAATGCATAATTAACAGTGAAAAGACTTGAAAATATTTCTAATTAATATATTCAGAATGTATTCAACTGTATCCATTCTGTTGAAGTCAAGTGAAAGGATGTATTCTCCTCCTTCTCTCTAAAACTATTGGAGGAGTTCCCGTTTTCTTGATGGGTGCCATCTTTGCTTCTACATTTTGTTCAGGAGGCATGTCAACATCTTCAAAGCTTCACATGTATGAAAAGATCTCTCTAACTCATACAGCTATTGAGGAGAAAACCTGAAACTAAGTGAAAACAAACCTGGCCATTTCTCAGTTAACCAGCAATCCAAAACAATAGCTATGGGAAGTATAAGTCACTAGAATTAATTCCATGTAAGTTCTGAAGTCTGAGGATGGTTCATGTAATTAAAGCACTGACTTGTCAGTGCTTTGATCAGAGCGCACTCTGTCAGCTTGAGTTAGCATGCAAAGTGGTTGGAGCCATGGCTGGTAAAGGGATTTAAAGAAGAGAAGCACTACTTCCCACTCCTCTACCTGACCTATCTTCAAATGCTGCATTCTGTCACCTAAAATTGTAAGTTTTACATTTTTGACTCCTGCAGCCACTAGGTTCTTCCTTTGCTGCCCATAACTCTGAAGACTGTTTTCTGATGCAAAATCTGAATAGACATGCTGTCGTTTCAGACAGCTAATTTCCCATCTTGTCACCCCACAGCTTCACCATATCTTATGTAGCAGTGAGGCGTTCTCACCACAAGCAAGACAGGCTCCAACTTGCTCTTTTTCTGCAAATAGCCTCCACCTGTTTGTTTTCACCAACGGATGTTGTGTGTGCAAGGAGCAGGACTTCATTCCACTCTGTCCTGAGTTTAAAAACTGACTCATATAGGCATCCCTGGATCCTAGAAACAAACACAATGCTGTTTCTCTAAACCACGTTATCAGTTTAGTCTGCTTTGACCATTTTTTATACAGCAATAGGGGATATGTTTTGCAGGGTTACTTACTTAGCTAAGTCAGGGTTTTTTTCTAGAGCTTCTTGTGAGACAGAAAAGCATCGGGGAAACAGAGTAATCCATCACGGATGGACTTACAGCAAGAAGCTTAATTTCTCTGCATTTGAACTTAAGGCTTTCTACATCTTCAGGCTAAGTTTGCATCAAAGCCATTGGAAAAAAAACAAACACGCATGGTTTTTGTCAAAAATGTTTATTGCCCTTCTCATCCTTGTGGTGTTTCAGTATGTTGTCAGAAGAAAACAGAGGCAGCTTGTTGTTCGTGAGAGAGAAAAAAGTCAGCTGGGAGGGCTCGAATGGTGCATTCGCCCCTAAGTCTTCTCAAAGTGCCTTATTCCAGCTAGTCATCTTGGGCTTGAGGCAGGAATTGTTTTGCATCCTGGAATCATCACTTCTGCTTTAAATAATAACAATAATAAAATTAATGAGGATCATGTTAAAAGTATCGTCATGGATGACTTCAGCATGAGTTTAACCTCCCTTGATCATGGTTGCCTTCTCTTCTTACTTCCAAAATAAATCATACGGATCTGGCTTCGAATTTTTTCAATGCCTGACTACCCAGGTACTTCATCAGCTCTTGTCTGTATAATCCTTCACCTGGCTTCAATCTTCACCCTCCAAGGCTGCTGGTTTTAGGTTTGGGGGTTTTTTAAATTCATTAGTATGATATATTGTAACATCATATTTCTATCCAAATTTTTATTATGTATATCTCTTGTATTTGAATTTATCATAATATAATAATGAATAGTATAAATAACTGAAAGCCTAGATAAATGAACAATTAAATCCATCTTGGTTCTCGTTTTTGTCCAGATTTGAACTAAAGCTCCAGTCCTGCAACTTGATCTGAGGTCAGCGGGGGTCCACAGAGGGCCACCCACACAGCTCTGATTGCAGACCTGGAGCCACAGATTGTTTACGTTTTCCTAAAGAATCTAAAATAGTGACCAGATAGGCAGGGAGCATGACTAAAGAAAATACAGCTGCTGCCAGTGGATCAAAACTCACAAATGTGGAGGTGGAGAACACTGCCTGGAAAATTTTGAAAGTAGGCTGACAGTGTACAATCCAGAGTGGTGGTACAAAGCATGCACAAGATGTGCTTGCAAGTCCCCAAAAATCTTTGAACTACTAGCTGAGATGTGTTTACTTAGTGGGAGAACCTCCTCAGAGAAATATCCTGAACAAACAGTATTTTTCTACGCTTACAAATAAAAACCCTGTCACTCCTCTCAGGGTGTCTCCCATTCGCATAAACCAGAATCATCTGTGTAAGTGCTGGCTCTTTTCCTCCTATTTAGGGAACAAACAACGGGGAATTTGAGAAGCCCTTGGAGTCAGGGTGGAGACATTTTGTTCACTGCAGCTCCCTCAGCGGTTAGCTATGTGCCAGTGTGACCTGTTGCAGGTTAACGTGGTCAGGGAAACTTCTTACTGGGGAGACATCCAGGAAAGGCATCTTACACCAGGAATCTCAACTGCATAACTGTGGGTGTTCTTTAAACCATTTCACTTAGCTGCAGGTGGTTCTGGAGGATGTGAACCTGCAAGGTGTGTTGAAAAGTACCCTGACTTGGGATAAGCAGCAGTTGGTGCTGTTTGCTATCAGACCTGTAGGAAATTGCCCCACCTTTCACATTGCCCAAAATTGTATGCCGGTGATTTTCCTTTCCTGCCCTTAGCTGACATGGTTACCAGTGAAAGCAGCCCAGGCTCCAGAAGGACGACCTTCCTGAGATCTCTACAACTGTCAGTTACCTCCAGTTTTTTTTCCTTTTAATGCCTGAATTATCTTTGAGTACGCACAATATTCATCTGATCCTTGAGTGAAGACTTGTCTTCTCCACTGCCTTTGAAATGGCGATGCTTTTGCTCAGAAACTGCATTTTGCTGTATGTAAAATGTGGCTCTGCTTTCGACACTGCAGAGAACTAGCATACGGGTGTCACTGTCTGTAGAATAGGACTGTGCTTCAAATTAAGACACCTGAATGTGCAGGTCCCCATATAGGTGGCCAAGCTCCCTTTACAGACAGCGAGGAAGCAGGGGTTCAGTTCAACTGCGCATGACTGCAGACACCTAGTGCTCAAACCTGCATTACGCCGTCAATACCTACAGTGCCATAACGCTCATAGAAACTAGGCTAGGATTCAGCTTTCCCAATACCACCAGAAGCTTACGTGTGAGCATCGAAACCAAGCCCATAGCCCACCTGCGAACAGCCACTGCTACACCTAAAACTAAATCCAGCCCCTCAACTGAGGTTCCTTTGGCTGTCTGTGAGCATCCAGAGCCATTGTAAATGCCTGCGGGGCATCCTTGTAGATCAGACGAACCTGTGACAGTCTGTGGGAAAACCACCAAGCAGGATGTCCTGGGGCATCTCACATGGCACTTAACCCCTTAACCCAGTGTGTTTGGCCACCTGAATACCACCAGTATGCTCTAATGCTCCAGCATCAATTTGGAAAGTGAAACACGCAGTTCTTGCACATCTCCTGGTGCGCCATCTTGGTGTAGTACCACCTTCCAAAGACGGTGACATAAAAAGTATGCCAATTTGATTGCTTAATGTTTATGAAGAGGTTTGGGGTCCATCTGGGTAACAACACTACACATATTTAAAGTCATTATCTCCAGGAAAATCTTGATATTTACCGCCCACTGTCATTTACCTGAAGTATAGTATTTGCAGTGTAACCTGATGCTCAGAATAGGAAATGTCAATTTAACAACCTGAAGCAGTAAATATTAAAATGTGAGTTTTCATTTACACAGAAGTACTGATTTCTTTCTAGAAAAGTGTGAAAGGGTCATGGTGCGAACACCATAAGATTTCTGTGGTACTTACTTTACTGTGTTAGAGTCACTTGTTCATTTTCAAGATACAGTAAGTCTTTTTTGGAAGCAATTTCTCTTTCATTTTGTAACAACTAACCAGCAAAACAAAATCTTTGTGTCTAAAAACGACTTACGATTTTTTATTTCTCCTTTACTTGGAACAGGTGCCTATTCCCTGTCTATTCGAGACTGGGATGATATGAAAGGAGACCATGTCAAACATTATAAGATTCGTAAACTTGACAATGGTGGATATTATATCACAACTCGGGCACAATTTGAAACTCTTCAGCAGCTGGTTCAGCATTATTCAGGTAATTTTTCAGATAATACACAGCACTCTGAAGTATTTTAAAACAAAAGTGTTCACTGCTGAGCTGATGTATGTGTAAGACGCCCTAAAGAGTCATTTGAGCTATGTCTCTTGCTTGTTGTAATACATCTTCCATTATCCCTGTCCCATTACAGTTATAAATGGCTTTGAGTGCTGTTCACAGTGCAGACTGGTAGAGCTTTTAAAAGCTAGCACTCTACTGAGGTAAAGGTTTTGCCTGCTCTCCCTCTTCTAAGCAAACAGAACTACTGATCTTGACTTGTACATCTCAATGCATGAATTCCCTGTGCATAAGTGAGTGTTAATATGCACCATTGCGCAGTACGCTGTTGCTAGTAAAGCAATTAGGGAATTGCATTGTGGAATTCAGTCACCTAAACCAATGACCAAAAGGTTTGCATATATTACCAGGCTCAAATTTTTCCACTGGATTTGTGTTCAATGTGCAAAGTATTAACATTTGAATCATAATCGGTCTAGTTTTAAAAATAAATACGGAAAGGTGGGTGTTTCTTCATGCACACTGTTTGTGTCCACCCACCAACCTCTCTTTTTTTTTTTACATCCCTGTGATTAAAATGTGGCATGCGCTTTTCAACCCAAAAGTGCATCCTGATGTCACTGGCGATTGGTGCACAACAGATACAACTTTAAAGCTCCCCAAACCTCTGCATAGGACAACCTATTCTTACGTAGAAGACTGCCATGCTTCTCAACATGGTCAGTTTTTAAGCAGAAATTTGTGTTTTGAATTATTTTAGGTTTTATTTTTCATTACTTTATCTTTTCATAATATTAACAGATGACCCCAAATGCTCACTGCTCAAAAACTTTTCATAATTTTTACTTGGGAAATCAACTTCTCTGTGGGGTGTTTTTTCTGTACTCTTTGTATTCTGTCTGCTGTATTCTTATGCTATTCATACTAGACATCTGGCTGTCTTCTCCGCCCAGTTTCTGATGGTTGTATGCTGCCTGGGAGAATTTCTAGTTGTTTGTGGTGACTCTACATTAAACTAAGCTAAATAATGTATAAAAACTCACATCTAAGGAAGGTAATTTTCAGCCCCGCTACACCAGATGGTATATGTCAACTTTTAGATTTCTGTGATCATATCCTTTCCGTGGTGTATTTTTCCATGCACAGATGCAGAAACAAATAGACAGGAAGCAGCCGCTTCTGTGCGACACAGAGGCATAATCAGTAGGATCCAGGTGGGGTAGCTCAGGAGGGCATGGTACAGACACACTCCAGAGGTTTCACCTGCCATCTTCCAGACCCAGGTGAACACAGGAGCCTTCATTCCATGCCTGCCCCAGCTGACTTGAAACATAAAGGCTGCCTCTAACCACCTGCTCTGCGCTCTAGATTGTGGGAGGTAGATTAGCACGATGCCTTGCGAATGCCTAGATTAACTTCTAGGGAGAGCTCAAAGATGCCCAAATGACTCCGTAAAGATCAGCATGGTCCTGCACCTCTTTTAAGATACAGGTCGCTGTGCAGGCTTTTTGTTGTAGGCTGCTTTGAGCAGCATAGTATACTACACAACAGTATATGTGTGTATATATATTTTATATATATAGTTATATAGATATATCATTGTTTTTACTCCTGCTAAAATATCTTGTGGCTTTTGTCACAGTTCAGTCTTCTGTGAAGCTTTGCAAGAGATAGGTATAATGAATCTGCCCCAAACAATGGAGGGCTGGCTGCACAGGCTAATAAAGGTTTGCTCTCGAAAGAATGGCAGAAAGAGTCTTTTACAGGACACCTACAAAAACACCCTTACACAGAGTAGAATACAGAAAATTCTTTTTCCCAGGATACCTAGAAAAAAATTGCTGTGATTTTCAGAAAAAAAAAAAAAGTATATCTTCTCTGTGTTTCTTTTATTCAGTAGAGAAATAGAACAGTTTGTGACTTAAAGATTATAAAGTTATACTGTACTATAGGATATCAGTTACTCGCAAAGTTATCTTAATGCAGCATTGTGGGAGAAGGGAAATCCTGAGTCCACAAGAGAAACCATTGGCGGTCACCTTGCATTTCAGGCTGTGCAAGCAGAGACTAAAATATTTCCTGTTCTGTCTCAAATGAATATGTTTCAGTGTTCAGTTTCTAATCTTCCAGGATGCTTTGTGGTATGCAACTAACAGCTGTTGTGAGTAGCATTGTTTTTATGCTTACTGTTTTTGTTTCATGTCACACTTTTTTTTCTTTCCTCTCCTTTGCTGTTGGCTTCACTTCTGGCTCCATCAGAGAGAGCTGCAGGTCTTTGCTGCCGCTTAGTAGTCCCCTGTCATAAAGGAATGCCAAGGCTTACTGATCTGTCTGTCAAAACCAAAGATGTCTGGGAAATTCCACGAGAATCCCTACAGTTGATCAAGAGACTGGGAAATGGGCAGTTTGGGGAAGTATGGATGGGTATGGAGCAAAATAATTATTCTAAAATAGCTCTCTGTGGGGATTACAAGATGGAAGGTGAAAATGTAGGACACTGTGACCCACAAGAAAAAGAAGAGCAGAGCTCACAATGTTAGGAAAAATGCTTTGGAATCTTCGACTTTGAAATTCTTTAGTCTTCAACTTTCACTGTAATTGATGGCCAAAGAAAACTGAAACTCCGTGTTTCCTTGGAAGGTTTTGATTTTGACAAATTACCTCTGTCTTAATAATAAATCAAGGCTCACATAGTAATCTATTAATTATACCAAGGAGCCTTTTTCTGCAAGCTAACAAAAAAGTCTTTTCCTTCAGCATCCAAAAGTCAGTGTTTGCAAATGAACTTTAATGCAGCACTGAGAGACAAGTCACCTTCCATCTTTCTCAATGCATGCGTAATTTTGGATTATAAGTGTGTTTTTTTTATTAATTTCCTCTCCTATAGAGAAAGCTGATGGTTTGTGTTTTAACTTAACTGTGATTGCTACGAATAATACCCCACAAACTGTTGGATTGGCTAAAGATGCATGGGAAGTTGCACGTGATTCATTATTTCTGGAACAGAAGCTTGGTCAGGGGTGTTTCGCTGAAGTGTGGCGTGGTAAGGCAGAGAATATATTTTGCTTTGGATGGATCTTTTAAGGCCCTCTTGGCAGAATAAACATTTCAAATAGAGATCTTAAAGCTAAAAGATCAGAATAGTATGAAATGTTAGTCTATATCACCTAAACCAGTCAGACCTGAATACAGTAATCCGCGGGGAAACTTCCTTTTACTTGCACACACTGGTATGAGAGGTTAGCGCATTAAACTTCATTAATTGCGTTGGGCTTATTTGGGTAACTCCACAATTTCCAGGTATCAAAATAGGAATGATGCTAAAATGGTAAGGCAGAATGGCTAACCAGAAATAAATCTGGTAAGTAGACATTTTTCTTTCCTCGTGTGTTTTAGCACTGATGGGATCAGACCCTGAAAATGCTTCCATCCGCTCTCCCAGTTTAAAAATAATGGCAAGTATCAGCAAGCTGATATTGTCAAGCTAGCTTTCCCATGCATCCAATTCTTTAAGTCTGTTTTGAAATTTGTATCTGCAGCGGAACCCTGTAACTCAATATAGAGACCAGGGACAATAGAGGCAAGACTTGCCCAACCCAGCTGAACCCCCACTCTGAAGTCCAGAAATATTGACATTTTCCAAATCCACTGGCATTGTTTTCTGCACACTTGCCAGCTTTACTTACTGTCCCCCCTCTATGGGCCTCATTCTTTTAAAGACTATAAAACAATAGCAATTTAAAATATACATAAATCTTAGTATGGCCATAGCATTGAAACACAATATAGGGGCCATTTCATGAGACGTGGGCTCAATTTTTGTGCCAAATTGCATTCTGTGCAGCCTCTTTAAAATGACCAATTCAAATAAAGAATCACTGTATTTTGTTTCTTCAGAAAAAAATTGGTGGAGCATTTTGGCCGCTCTTTTTGTTGCAGTGACACAGAACTATGTACAACCAAAATAACCAGTGGCCTCTCCTCAGTTCTTGCAGCTGTTTTCCATTGCAAGACTACAGCAAGGAACATGGCAGCAAGCCTGTGAAATTTATAGAATTTGTAGAGTAGAAATATAGACATTTATAGAATTTCATAGAATTACAGTTGACCTGTTGCAAAGAAAGCTACCTATGTTTTCTATTACCATCCCCAGATAACTGCAGTTTCACCTTCTTGTCCTCCATCTTGAAGGCATGCAAGAGTTTCAAGCTGATGTTAATACTTAGTGGTCAGCTTTGTGTGCTGTAGATCTTAAACTGCTACAATAAGCTAAAGGAGCAAGTGCAATTTAAAAAAAAGACAAAAGAAAACTATGAGAAGTGAAGTGCCAAGTACCAGTACCAAATATCTCTCAGAAATGCAAAAATTATTATTACAGTTATGACATTATATTTTTTAAAGTAATATATAGTAAAAATATTAACAACCCTGAAGCATTACCAAATTTAAACAGATTAACACAGGAAAAAATTAATAAAAAATTCATTAAGTAGTAACTAACTACATATGGGAGGAATTCACAAGGAAGTCTATGATAATTTTCTATTTGAGAGACACATACCAAACCACAACAAGAAAATTTAACAATTTAAATGGAAATCTGGGCTGAGAGAATGTGTTAACTTTTTTGTTTGATTTTCTTTTTTTAACTAGTGAAAGTCATAAAAGTATTTAAATCTAGAACTGCTGAAAACACTTCATTGTAACAGAACAAGTCCTGGGATTTTTGTTAAGGCAACGCAAACAAATAATACACTGTTAATCCTGTTAACACACCAGGTAAAAATCCTAGTTTATTAATGCCAGTGACAGAAACCCTGATGCCTGTGAAACTAGGGTTTTATTCCTGGTTCATATAATTTGCGGTACCTCTGCAAAGTGACTGCAACTGACAGCACTCTGCGGTCCGAAGCCTCAGTGGCTCCAGATAAAACACACGCCTTTTCACCCATCAGAAAAGATTTTGGCCACTCTGCTTGAAATTAGGAGGCAAGATCGCATCCTTCCCAGCTTACACAAGAGTGCCACTAAAGCAAAGTCCTGCTTCAGCTCTGATTTGAAGGACTGAGTGAAACTAACACCTCAAGAGTCCTCCTCAAGTGCACGGGGGTAGCTGTGGTAGTAACCCAAAACTGCTCTGCCACCAGTAAAGGTGACAGGACGTGGCACTGAGCTCGCAGAAGAAAATCAGGGCATAGTGAAAACCAAACTTGCACCACACATTTTTGGCTGATACGTGCCTCAAGCCCCGCTCAGACACCTTCGTGTGTCACAGCAGGGATTGCCCTACAAGTGAGGGACAACACAGACAGTGGCTCCCTGGCCGCTCCTCCCCTGTCCTCAGCTAGGTGAGGTGGCAGCTGGGATCTGACCACTTGCACAAAGGGCAATCCAGCTCGTTTTATACTCTGGCAGGTTGCAAAAGCTCATGATGAAGTTATTTTGGCTTAACCAGTTCCCGTGCAGCAGCTGAGCCCTGGTAACTGTTAAGGTGCTTTTAACAAAGACAAACCAGGCTTATTTTACACGTTACCTTTCGTGATGACACCTTAATTTATAGAAACTAGATCTGAGTCTGAGTCTTTATGTACTTTGTAGGCCTTCTGCTATCCTCATGCTTCAGTGCAGAGGAGTAATTTTTACCCAATGAGGTTAATTCCTGAAGTAATTCAGTACTGTTCTGCCTTATCACACAGCAGCTCCCTGTTAACAGACCATAGTCCCATTCAAAGCCATTTCAGCCCTGGCTCTGGAGCTGGGTCCTGACGAGTCTGGGCAAGGAACAACCAGAAGGCACTAGGAAAGTGATATTTCTGCCCATTTTAATTTTCCTGCCTTTCCCTTCCCCAGTCCCCTATCCCCTCAAAAAAACATTAACAGAGGTAGGTGTCTTGTTGGGTTTTTTTCTCTCCAGTCCTCCTTCTCCCCCTTGCAAATACCCAAGTAAGCCCCAACTCTTGTGGTATGCCCTGAGTCAGCTTTCCCCAGCTCTCTCCAGGCCCTTGTGCAGGCTTTCAGGTGTTACAGAAGGCTTGGTAGGTCATGGCTGAAAAATGACACAACTTGTCCATTTCAGTGCTGACTGCAAGTAAAGAACAAAGTGAAGGGGACAGGAACTACCTCGGTTTCAATCAGCAGCTGCTGGGCTTCTGGGGATGAGGAGGGGAAGGAAAAAGATGCATTTCGGTTCGGAAACATGCCCGTGTTTCTAAAATGAAATCAATTTAGAATTTGTTTCTTGGGATTTTTTCTTAGAATATTTTTTTCCTCTGGCTCAGAACAAAACCAAAATGTTAAAATATCTTGCAAATGGAAAGTTCTGGGTTTAACCAGTTTTGTTATCCAAATCTGTGACTGGAGCTATGTTGTTGTCCGTTGAAATTACTTGTTAAGCAACATGAAGATGGATTTCAGCAATCCCACATTTCTTACTCAGAGAAGGCTTCTGTGGACATCGGTGGAAGCATTGTCTGAGTAGGGCAACAGCAATTGTGCTCCAATGCCAACGGGAATATTATTTTTCAGTATAACAGAAAAAGACTAAAGGGGGAGGAATATAATGATAAGGCAACATGGGAAACCACACTTTAAAAAAATTGTTATATTAAGTGTCCTTGCTAGTTTATTCCTTGGTTACATTAGGCATCAGGCATAAATAGGAGCAGAAGATGTTTAATCTAACTAAGTATCTGTGCTTGTAGGTACGTGGAATGGAAATACTAAAGTGGCTATCAAGACCCTGAAGCCTGGCACTATGTCTCCAGAATCCTTCTTAGAGGAAGCCCAGATCATGAAGAAGCTAAAACATGACAAATTGGTCCAACTTTATGCTGTGGTATCTGAAGAACCTATCTATATTGTCACAGAGTACATGAGCAAAGGTGAAGCCAGAGCTGCTGCCCTTGATAATGATATTTTTTCTTTGTTGATGTTCCTTGGAGATACAGAGGGAGGTTCAGTGTGATGCATGACCAGCATGTGAGGAAGGAGAGAGGGAACAGGAAGCTAAATTCAACTCTGGCTTCAGAAGAATTATGAATTCAACCTGAAATCCACTAGATTTGCGCAGAAAATGTGCACTAGGTGGAGGAGGGAGAAGTTGGTGCAGCCTAAGTGCTTCCAACTGCATCAGCATCTAAACTTCCCTGACAAGTGGAGATTTGCATTTTCTAGGTTTAAATGATATTACACGCTGCTTCCCAAGATCTTGGCTTTTCCTGGCGACAGAGAGTTCATATGGCACCTTCTTTCAGTGTCAGCCTGAGATTTCTGTTTCTTCTTTTAGCAATCCTGAATTCTGTCACATGCACCTCACTTTCAGATCACAGCTTGATTTCTAGCCCACTCCATTTATTATTTTAATACATGATTTGCACATATGATTCTTTCCCTCCTTTTGCCCCTTCCCTTTCCCCTTCTCCCTTCTCTTTTTCTTTAAGCTACTTGACTGGTAACGATGTAGTAAAATGAGAAAAGGAAAACTTTTCGCTCCATCAGATCTCCAGCAGGGGTGCTGAGAGCAGAGCGAAAAATCTGCTTGTTTTGGAAAAGCAAATGAACCAAATAGGAAACATAAGTTCTCACAGGGAAGTTTCATTGTACATTGGAGGATACACTCTAAAATTTTAAGTGCATTTTTTCAGTCTATTTGGAGTTGATTTTTATTTTCCTGGCAGGTGCCTGCCCACGTCCCTCCTCAGAGGCATCCAAGCCCTGACTAACTCACATTTTAATCATATGTCTCAGTGACAAGCATGTGGTTTTTCCCCTTTAAAAAAAAGAATTTTCAAAATCCTTCCGAAGTACGTGGTTTATTTTGGCTTACTTTACTAGCTTTTACTGTAACATTTTACATCTTTGGATCTGAGCTTGAGGCTGACAATTTATCAAGGGAGAAACGCCTAATCATCTGTCTTTTCCTCTTATTTATTAAACCAATTCACTGACCTTATTTAAAGGAGACTGCCATGCTTCTCTGTTTGAATAAAAGATTGGGAAGGGAGCTATAGCATCCTAGGCTTTTTTAAAAAGCTACAGGGAACCTCCTTGCTTTCCCTTGCACGGGGGAGCTATGTCCTTACTAGTTTTGCTAAAATTGCTTTCATTTGATCTCTGCTTTGTCTTCTCTAGTTTTGCATAGTGCTCTTCTAAAATTAATGGTTCATGCTACATTTAGTTATGGGTTACCTAGTGAAGGAGCACTACTAATTTTTAAGGAAAATTAGCCTTTGTTAATGCTAGCCCCTTTGGGCTTACCAGGCTCCAGGCTGACCTTTCTTTTGGAGCTGGGATCTGACTTTTTCCATAGCTTGTGTGGCTTGGAACTGAGCTGATGCTTTGCAGCTAGCTGAGGCCTTTGGAGAGCAGCAGGTATGTGGTTTCAAAGAGCACTGGAAAAGTTAAGAAAGATCAGCTTTCTCAACAACGGTCAGGAAAATTAAAAACAATGTTGTTTCTTTTCCCTGCAACTCTCTTTGGACTAGTGACATATTCTTCTGCAAGCCAACCTTAATGAAGAGTGAAACAAGTACAATAGGAGAATTCTAGGATATTGTGGGTTTTTTTGGAACTGTCCACTTGAACTAGAAATGTGCTGTCTTTAACATTGCACATATTGCTGCACCTCCATCCTGATGAATAACGGTTGTTCCCCTAACGTCTCTCTATTGTGTCAACTTTGCATTTGCAGGGAGTTTGCTAGATTTCCTAAAAGATGGAGAAGGAAGAGCTTTGAAGTTACCAAATTTGGTGGACATGGCAGCCCAGGTCTGTCTTCAGAGTATCGAGCACTTAGGTGTATATATGTTTTATAGTCCATGTATGTCTGAGTTAATTTTAAAATGCACCGATTGCGTTTCGTGCTTCTCGCAGGTGGCTGCAGGAATGGCGTACATCGAGCGAATGAATTACATACATAGAGATCTGCGGTCTGCAAACATTCTGGTGGGGAATGGCCTAATATGCAAGATTGCCGACTTTGGATTGGCAAGGCTGATTGAAGACAACGAATATACAGCTAGACAAGGTAGATACAGCAGCAGGCATAGCACTGAGTGTCATTCTTGTGACAGGGGAAGAGTGGAATATGGCTTTAAAAAGCTCTCTGTCATACGCTATAGGGTTGCTTTCAGTAAATCCTGAACTCATATTAACTCCTAGCCCAGAACTTCACTGCTGAATGTATGCTCTAAAAAGAACATCTTATTTAGTTGTCTTCCCTTTAAAAACTGACCAAAATAGACAAAGATGATGAGTGAGAGCACAGGTCAGTGAAGTGACAGTAAAGACAAGATCCTCATGGTGCCGTGACAAAGAAGATACTTTACTGACCAGCCTTGAAAGCCTGAATGGGGTAATCCAGAAAAGCCTATGTAAGCTATTTGTTTTGCAGTGTGCCTTCTAGTATTTACTAACCACTATCAATATTGCTGTGCTATTCTTATGCTCTTTATTTCAAACGGGTCAAAGAATTGTGTCTCTATGCAATGCAGCTGTCTCTCTGAGCACTGTTTTCTCTGGGAACTTAAAAAGTTACTTTAATAGGAAAGCCATTTTCTAGTGCCACACAGGGCGCTGGGCACAGACACCACTGATAACACTATAAAAATTTATCAAAGAGTATTGTAGCTTTTTTTAAAAAGCGTGTGTGTGTGCAGACTGAGCCATGACACAGGCTCTTTGTAGTTAGTCATTCTTTACAAGTCATGCTTAGTCGTCAGATGTTGGTCCAAGTTTGCAGAGCTACAGTTTTGTTCTCTTTCTGTTGGCAGTACATTGGTAGTGCTTGCTCAATAAGTGCCGGTAAATACCACTCTGTTCGTTTCAGTGCCAAAGCCAAGGAGTGTCCCACTAAACTCTTGTATGTCATCAGAAATCACAGGTTGGTTAAGTACTTCATAACCTGCATTCGTGCCTTCCTGTTGTGAGTTTTTTCTCTTGACCAGAAGTCCCTGTTTCAGCACATATTTTACCATTAATTTTTAGGAAAGAGCTAATCTCTTTCTGTAACTTTCAAGTGCTGACAAAAGGAGCCAGAGAGTTTCCAGCATGCCTTGTCTTGGCCTGGGAGCAGCAGCTCTCATGCCATTCACACCCCTCTGAAGTGCTGTCAGCAGTACCTAGTCGCAGGGATGTGGACCACAGGCTACATCCACCTTTAAAATTGCCTGCTTCACATTTGGTCTTCAAGGCCTGATTATTTTGGAGGAGCCCTTGAAGAGCCGTGGTAGGTACTAATGCAGAGTTAACCACTATTGATCTCTGCCTGAGGGTGGGAATTACTTCTTGCTAGAAAAAATAGCCTCCTGACATTCTCTCCAGAGTAACAGGAGTGTCTCCAGGCTCTGGAAGACAGAAAGCTGCCTGCTTGCCCTTCCCCTATGTAAAACAAAAAGAGTTTTCCTTGAACAAGGCAGCCTGACACAGTCTGCAAAACGACTTTGAAAGTGTCCTATATTATCTCAATTTCTGTCTGTTTTACTGCCATGTCTTTTGTTCCATTTGGAAACCTCCCAACATATAGTTTGACATGACTAATTATTTGGTTTAATAGACAAGTATGTGACCTACTTCTGGCCAGATCTCTTCAGGCTCCTGATTCCTAGGAAATCCTCTGATGACCTGTTTGCTTCCTGGTTTAAAGCTCTCAGAATAGTTTGACCTCTTCACACGTTAGAAAGTCGTGAAAACCTGCCAGACTGATGTTCAGGAGAAGCTTAGATTTTTTTTAAGACAATGAAAATTACTGGATTTTGAGTGGGAAAATGTTGAGCTGAGAAAAGCATAATGCCAGGACTGGCAGGGAGAGGGAGTGTAGTCATGAGTATCTCCTGCCCTTCTTCCACAGCAGAAATCTCTTGTATTGTAGAAAAACCATCTGGGAAGGGAGAAGTAGTTTGGCTTTTAACCTGCATTGCTGATGATCTGGTTTGCTGCCGAATCGTGTTTGCCTGGCTTCATCTCACTGTGCAAGTATCAAAAGCAAGTATGAAGAAGTCACCCATCCTTCCTGTACTTCAGGGCAATGGACAACACTTCCTTCCTCTGACCCCAGAGTCAGGCTTAAGTCCTTTAGAGCTACAGAATTCCTTAAAAGAGAGACCCAAACAGCTGTAATCACAGGCATCTTGTAGAAAGATTTTCCTACTTTCACTAATGTTTTTTTGACCCTTTCTTGAGTGGTAGCTTGTTCTAGGGAGGGGTGCATTTTTGACCAAGCAGCACACTCTCAATTTACATTCTGTTGCAATTAATCTGACTTCCAAGCCAGCTGGGCAGCCAGAGTGAGCCTAGGACCTTTAATTTATTGAGGAAGAAACATGATTTCTAATGCACCACTGTAATTTTTCTTCAAGTGGGATTCGGTCCTGCTTTGTTTAGTTAAACTTCAGTTTTGAGTGTTGCTTGGTGGAGACCACAGTATCAGAAGGAAATGGTTGCCTCTGGTTGTTTCCCATGACCTATTACTTAAGCCTCCAAGGGGATGCATCTGGGGACTGCTCTGTTTATCTAGCTGACTACTGCTTCAGTGGGAATTTTGACACAGGGGGAGAGCCTGGCCAGCAGAGGGGAGGGGAACAGGGAGCGCTCCAGACTGGCAGCTTCTGTGGGAGAGAGGAAATGTTTTGCCTTACAAAATCAGAAGATTAAAACCTCTGGTCACTCTCTCCTCAGCAGTCCTTCTGTTGGCTTAAGTGTGTTAGTACAGGGCTCATTGTCAGCATGGGGAAGAGGTGGTTTTCTCCAGCCTTGCTTGATCTCCTACTCCCTTCCCCCACTGTCACTTTTGTCTCCGATTAAATATTTTGAAAGGAAACAGATGGGGATGCTTTGAGCCCCAGTGGGCTAGAGTGCAGGATTCCTGAACCTGTATTACTCAGCCTGGTGGTAACGTTTTACTGACCAGTTTATTTTCTTTTTGGTTTGAACAAAGGAGTCCTGACTGCTCCTGATTTATGAGAGGTAAATAAAAAGCGGTTTGTTGTCTGCACTGCCGTTTCTCAGCAATCAGGAAGGAAAGAGACCGTCATGCCACTAATGATTTAAAGTGTGTGACTGGCAGCTATACACTGCCATGAAATAATACAAAAAAAAAAAGTTCTTGGCTTGTAACGAGCATTTGGCTCCTTGCTTTTAAAGGAAGTGAGTAATCAAAGGGGAAAAACATGCCTGTTAGTGACACCCATTTTAAAGGCTACGCTGGTGGACTGTATTGCAGCCTACACCATTGGGGCTTGCTTCTGTTGACTGTGGCTGTTGCAACATCTTCCCCCCTTCCACAGTGTCAGGCATTCAGTCTTGTTTCCTTCTATCGGTGATGGTGCTTGTGTCAGTCCTGTAAGGCAAGACTTAAAACTCCAGGTATCCTACAGGATAGAGAGACATTTCCCATCACGTCCAACACTGGATTTCCCATGCACTTCTGCTACCCTTACACTGATCTGGTTCGCAGCTATGCCGAGTTTTGGCCAAGCACATGGCATTTTTGTGGAGAGTGCCGAGTGCTCCACAGAGTTCCTGGGGAAGAGTTGTTACTATTCTAAGCAGTAGCAGCTGATAGAAATTTAAAGTTGCCTTAATAAAAAAAAAAAAAAAGAGCAGTTATTTTCCAGGCCATGTTTCTACTGCATACACTGGCAGCACTTGCAGCAATGCTGCTCCAAGCACACATGAAACAATAAGGATCTTTCTGATGCCTTCCAGACAAGTCAGAGCTATTTTGGGAGCTCTAGTACGTGTTTGTAAACTCTCAGATCATTTTTGCTTCCTTAACACCAAAGTATCTCCTTCCTGCCCTGCTTAAAAACAAGTGGTGCTTCTTATTTTGATTTCCTAGAAACGAGCAGGGATATTTTTCCCTTTTCAGGCTCTCCCCAGTCCTTTTGTAGAGACTTGGCTCTCAGCTCACCAGCTAATCAGATCTCTCTTGTTCACAACTGACTGTACTGTGGGCTGTAACATCCAGGGCTTTGTTCTTGCTCTTTACCTGCCGTTCCCTGAGACAGCTGTGGAGCAGACAGGAGGAAGGACTCTTGCTTCTCAACAGCCAGCCCCCAGGGTCCTGGACAGGGATCCCTGATAAGCTCCTACAGAGATGCCATCTGCTCTAAGAGGAGCAAGAGGAAGGGCAAGGGGAAGGGGGGTGTGCAAGCAAAGGGTGAGAGGGCTCTTTAGACCCACAGTTCCACCCCTTGTCCCCCGCTTCCTGGGGAGGGGTCAGCCTGCGGAGCCTGCTTTGTGATCGCTGATGTTTTGCCAGGCTTGTTATTTCATGTTCGTTCTCACAGCACAAAAAATGTAATTGTGCAGTCCCTCCCACACGGCACTCGTCATCGCCTACCGGGGCTGACTCGTTTCCTCTTACATGCTTGCTTCAGCACTTCTCTTTTACCTTCTGCAGCTTTCCCTTTCCAGCCCCAGGAGCAATTCGGTGCTGCACTACGTTCTTCGGTCACTAAGCCAAGAGTTCCCTTGGTTTTTGTGTCTTAGAGCGTGTGGTGCTGCATTGGGTTTGGTTTTAAGGTACAAGAGGTAGCAGCTTTGTAGCATTTGAAGAAACAGGATCGTTATCAAGCTGGCAGTGGCTCTGGGGCATGAATTTCAGAGGTTTCTGCTTCTTCGAGATTTAGATCTGAAAAAACAAAGCTCTGAGGGATTTTCGCTCACCTCAGAAGAAACCACGCTGAGAGTTGTACGTCAAGGTCATTCAATTATCCCAGCCCCCTCCACTCCTTCTCATCATGTGACCTGCTTACAGCCGATGAAGAATTAAAACAAGGCCATGGATTGATTTTTCCCAAGGAAATCCTTCTGGGAGATAACCTATGTGAATACCTGGGCAGAGCCAGGCAGAGGTCTCAAGAACAGGGCTGAGACTCACAAAAATCCTCAGAGGTAGGAGGCAGGGCTGGCTGCCCTAACAGTAAATTCTATGGTCAGCTTTAGCTTGATGTGGTTACAAGCAGTGCAGAAACCCAAAAAAAGGCTTTCCCCAGGCTGAAATGTTTCAAAAAAAGGGACAGCGGTAACCACTGCAGATTAGTACCTCGCTTTGAGGCAAAGACAGGCTATCCTGACCTAATGAACACAGTGCACAGCTGGTTTGTATGCATAGAGTTACTGACCTGCTAGTTTGTAATAAAACGGGTTCCAGCAAAAAAAAAGGAGAAATCCCCCCCCACTGATGTAAAATATGCCTTCAAAGTAGAGATAGCCTGCGTTGTCAGCTGGGGTAATTTGGTTTATCAGATTTATTAACATGCTTGTCAGTAATATGCATTTTATCTGATGATCTGATGCTGTAATTTGTTTGCAGCACAAAGTCAGCTTGTTTAATAAGCTGCTGAGGCCTGGGCAGAGGGAGGGGGTGGGTTTCTTAATCGGTGTGTTGGGAAGAGACTAAGCGCAGAGACTGTGTGTCAGTCAGGAGCCATGCACAGGGTCTGGGCTGTGCGAATGCTTCGTATAGCAGTAGCAATGGGGAGGCTTCAGAGCGGTGCTTAACTCGTTTGGGGATTTTTGTGTTTTCACAGAAGTGCACTGCCTGCGCCTCCAGTGCCAGAC